CGCTCGGAGATGCGTATCTCCTGCGTCTCTGCCTCCTTCCGATCCTCGCCTTTGTTTCGGCACGATGTCTTCCCGCCGATTTCTATTCCTCCGCCCTTGCCGTATTCCGTAAGTTCCTTCTTTTTCATCTCGCAATCGAGCGCAATCGATGCGATATGCGCTCTTGCGACGTTTCTTTCGAAAATCGAGAGAATTCGGGGAATCCTTGCTATTGAACAGGGTGTCTAGCGAAATCTGGGGATAGAGCATTGATAAGGGAATTTTGTAAATCTGGAATAGTGGAGGAAAATTTGAAATTTTTTATTAAATAAATATAAATCGTTTAAATTTATATTTTTATCGTCGTGTTATTTTATTTCAATGTGTTTAATAGAGATAAAACTAAAAAATTTGGTATAATATAAATAAAAATAGTGATTATTTAAATAGTTTAGACCCTTTTCATTGTTGACAAAAATATCTCAAGAATTGCATGATTTAACATTTAATTGATTTGTCATATAGATATATACAAATTATATATTTGGAAAAAATAATACTAAAAAGTCAGGGAAAAAATTAATTTCTCATCTTGGAAAATCTGAAAAAGTCAAGGAATTTTTTTATTGAGTCTGTTGGACGCTGTTGAAAGAGTTGCGACATTTAATCTAATTCATCTTCTCGAAGAAAAAAATATTTAAAACCTTATTTTTTTATAAATTTGAGAATTTAATAAAATTTTTTTGCAATTTTTTTAAAACAATACAAATTTGTTTAACCAGATGAAAATTAAGAGAAATAATTTCAGGATAAAGAAATTTGATAAATGAATACAAAGAGATCTTTCATATGTTAATTTAGCGAATTAAATTCAAAATTTTGATTTCTAATTTAAAAATTGTATATTTTGTATTAAATAAATTTAATTTTTAGAGAGAAGGGATGCTTTAACTTCAATTAACCTCAACTTGATTCAAGGTTTTTAAAGGACAGTTTTTACGGCTGAATCACAAACTTTATGGGGGTTCTAAATTAGGATCAAAATAGCGAGGAATGCGAGTCCGCGGATTTTGCCGGCGCCAAAAATAGCGCTGTTAGACGAAGCTTTTATTAGATGCGCTTTTATTTGTCCGACATGTTTATGCACGCAGATAAAGAAGGGGCGATGAGCCACGTGTGTCTTTGTCCCGCGTTTTTCTCGAAAAAACAAGCGCCGTTTCTGGACACTCTTCTCTCGCAACCGCTGTGCCAGACCGGAATCGAATGAACGATCAAAATTCCATGCACGGTGTGTTTCCCCGGACAGGAATAACAGATTCATCCAAATTCCACGAGCGACAAACGACGGGAGGCGAATTCTCCCGTCGTAAAATTAACCTCTAAACCGACTCTAAAAATCGTTTTTAGGATCGAATCCGGTTCGTTAAGCGCCCTTTTTTTTAAACTCAACTCAGTGTTTCTGCAAAATAAATTATTGTCTACTCGAGATGGTAAAAAAGCTGAAGCAGATTTATTTTGAATCGCGCTAGATATATTAAAAGAACGTGGTTCTTGAAAAAAAAATCTGGAAGAGATATACACCTAATAACGAGTTTTATAAAAAAAAAAAAAAAAAAAAAATATTTTATTTCTGATGAAGATTTTTGTCGAAAGGGAAAAAAACACACTTTTTCTCCATTTTGGAACACGATTTTCATAAAACATAAACTTTCCATTTTTTCTGAATGTGCGGTTTCTCCTTTAGTTCCCCGGAAATACTTGATTTTACGAGATCACGCTCTTTTGGCATCGAGGTCGATTTATTTCAGGAAGAATTCGAGATAAAACTCGCGCGTCTCTCTGAACAATCCTCAATCTTCTTTTCCTCAACTTTCCGGATTCACGCGGAATCCGCGTGCGCGAGCATGACCGGTTTTTATTCGGCGACACGCGGAAAGGTCGCGCGCGCGACACGGTCGCCATTACTGCGATTTTATAGTTAATTAATACTGCGGCACGGTCGCGGTATTGTGAGCAGCTGGAATTTTTCAACAATTATTTGTTTCGTAGGCGGCCAACGCGGCCATCGCGGCGATTCATGTACATGTATAGCTTAAAACGGATACGATTTGAAGAGAGAAAAATAATCGATTTCTCGAAATGCCGACGAAAGGAAAATAATACGAGAAGCGAGGGAACTATGGACTTCATCATTTAATTATATTTTTTAATTATCTCATTAAAAACGCTTCTAATGTTAATTAATCATTTTATCAATATCAATTTAATTGACGTGTCTTATATATTAATTATATAGACATATATTTTGATATACCAAATATATTTTAATTTAATAGTACAACATATTATTCTAATATATAAATCGTAAATAAATGAATTATCGTATGCAGCAATTAAAATTATATTATATATATAAATAAATTAAATTCTGAATGATTATCATGCATGCACATTGCACTTTTTCTCTCTTCTTCTATTTTTTTAAATGTAATAAATTACATATACTTATCACTTATCGGTATAATTATTTTTTTTTTTTATCGAAACCTTATTTTTCCACTCAGGTATTTCCGTATAGATACTAGTAAGTTTCTGCTTGCTTTTTTTTCTCAGGCACTACCGCGTGTCGAGAAGCGAGTTTCCGTGTTTTCTTGGCGGGATGCGCGCACGAAAAAATACAATTTTGACGATAATCGCGATCGCGCGCGCTTTCTCCTCGCAGCGCCCGCGCGCTCATTTGCATCGTATCGTAATTTCTCATCGAAAATGAGCAGCGTGAATACATATCATATCAACTTTTCAAGGAAATCGTTACTTAATAACGATTTCCTTGAAAATATTTTTCCATTATAATCACGATTCCGCGCGATAAGCGGCCGATAACGGGTGTCGCGGAATACAGCATCAGTATAATGTAGCATACTCTCTCTTTCTTACTTCTTCTATATGCATATATATAATTTTTTATTAATATAACATATATTAAAAATAATATATATTTTTTAATGCTATATACTATTTTTTTTATTAATATATGCATATATATTATTTTTGTATATATTAATTTATTTATACGAAAAATATGTATACAACATAAATTAATATATATACAAAATAATACGATGTAATATAATATGTACAAAAATTATTATATATACTTTTTGTATATATTAATTTTATATATATGTGTATATATGCATATATAAATTTTTGAACCTAGTTGCCGTGTAATTTCCTTGCGAAACGTGAATCGTGGGCGCGAGATAATCTCTCTCCGGTGCGATTGATGAATCTACCTCGACACGCGGACGGAGGCTGCGTCATCTCTCAAAGATCTCTAGCGCGCGAAATAGACGGCGACACCTTCGTCGTCGATTTATAAACCAGTATAACTCCACGAGGATTACACGCGATCGCGATCGACAAAGCGATTGTATATATACATACGTATGTATATAATATACAACTCTATCTATAGGATTATATGCATCAATCGCGCGGTCCATCTCTGCAGGTATCCAGAACTGGATTTTATTCAAACTTTTGTAGAGCCGCGATTTTTATCACAGCAATAACAGTAATGATCGAATCAATCATTCTAGAGAGAACATTATTCTGCAATCTTCCCTCTCCCCAATATTTCAGGAAGCGTAAAAAAAATATGTTCCTGTTCAAAAAGAAAACCACACGCAACAGCGTTTATAACTCTCTAAAAGAGTAATGTATTATTATTATTATTATTATTATTGTTGCAAGAGAAGTATTTTTTTCATATAAGTGTGTTTCATAAAATTGAAACTCTCGGAACGAAATTTGACGTATCTTTTTGCAACATCGAGAGAGCAATGTCCCTAATAGCACAATATATCCAAAAGATATTCAGAGGATATTCAGAGGATATCCAGAGAATATTCTCAGTATGTTTTCTGAACGTTTTCGGGATATGTGAGCTGTTAGGGGTCGCATCCGCAATGTTCTCGAGAGAGCAGTGTTCATAATAGCACAACATATCCACAAGATATTCAGAGGATATCCAGGCAGGACATTTTCAGGATGTTCTCTGAACGTTTTCGGGATATGTGTGCTGTTAGGGGTCGCATCCGCAATCTTCTCGAGAGAGCAGTGTCTATAATAGCACATCTTCGAAAGATATTCAGAGGATATCCAGAGGATATCCAGTTCTCAGGATGTTCTCTGAACGTTTTCGGGATATGTGTGCTGTTAGGTCGCATCCGCAATGTTCTCGAGAGAGCAGTATCTATAATAGCACATCTTCGAAAGATATTCAGAGGATATCCAGAGGATATCCAGAGGACGTTCTCAGGATGTTCTCTGAACGTTTTCGGGACATGTGTGCTGTTAGGGGTCGCATCCGCAATGTTCTCGAGAGAGCAGTGTCTATAATAGCACAACATATTCACAACATATTCAAAGGATATTCAAAGAATATTCAGAGGACGTTCTCAGGATGTTTTTTGAACGTTTTTGGTATATGTATGCTGTTAGGGGTCGCATCCGCAATGTTCTCGAGAGAGCAGTGTCTATAATAGCACATCTTTGAAAGATATTCAGAGAATATCCAGAGGATATCCAGAGGACGTTCTCAGGATGTTCTCTGAACGTTTTCGGGATATGTGTGCTGTTAGGGGTCGCATCCACAATGTTCTCGAGAGAGCAGTGTCCATAATAGCACAACATATTTGAAAGATATTCAGAGGATATTCAGAGAATATCCAGAGGACGTTCTCAGGATGTTCTCTGAACGTTTTCGGGATATGTGGCTGTTAGGGGTCGCATTCACGATATTCTCGATCGATCGCCGAAAAAGTTCACACCTCGCTGACCGCAAATAATGCGGCTCGCTGCACTTTCGCAACGCGGATAAATATATACCTGCACGAGGCTCGCACACACAGACACACATACACATGCATATATATACGCGCATGCGCTGCATCGCGTACCCACACTCCTGCCCACACACGCGTGTGTACGATACCGGAACGAAGCGAGTGACTAACCTCTGTGAATAGAAGAGACGAGGAGGAGACTAGTCTCTGCCAGGTTTAATACCACCAGGTCGGCGCCTCTCCGCAGGATCCCTCCAGAAGAGAGGTTCGGGTTAGGGGACTCCCCCGAAATTCCTCGGACGGGTTAACAACGCGGTCGCGCGTTCTCACTCGGCGGACGCTTCTGGAGGAAGCTCCCGAAACTCTCTCAGACGAGAGAGGTCGTTCACTGGTCGACGATCATGTGGTGCACGACACGCTGGACGACGTCGTCGCGGCTCGACGCTCCTCGTACGGAGTATAAACCGCGTAGACACGTCAACGCGGTGGCCATGCGACCTTCCTACGTAGATTCCTCGATCTCCCGATGGGCGATTAATTTTCTCGAGTCCTGGGAACCTGGTGGATTCTGGCGCGCGGGTGCTCGAGCCGTAGAATCGCGTATGTTCTCCTTTGAACCCTTGGAACACGCTGGATTCTGACCCCTCTCGAACCCTTAGCAATGTCAATTGAAGATCTAAGTTATTAGGATTTTCATTCCCTTTAAAACTTTAGAGATTTTCATTCCCTTTAGGGATTTCTGATTCTCGAGGATGTGAACCAAGATTGGTTGTGACTTTTGAACTTTAAGGATGCAATGAATCCTGTTTCTTTGGATTTGTTTCTTTGACTGTCTTCTGCACTCGCGCAATACACCGAGCTCGATTCACTGACTTATCGTGTCTGTGAAAGACCAGGAAGCAGCGCGGATATATCACTCTCACTCGCGCAAAGACGTTCTTCGGGATCCGTGTTTTTGTCCCGCAGATTGGGACCGGTCCTTACGAGGTGGTCCTCGAGGATTGGCAAACGCTGAACGCGACCAGCTGGTACCAGCTGTTTTCTGGACGCGATTGTAAACCGTGTTGCTCGCCGGCGACCAAACGACTGTAGACGCGATGGTAGTGGTGGAGCAGGAGGACGAGAAGGAAGAGAAGGAGAAGGAGGAGGAAGTGGTAGGGTAGGTAGGTGAGCTACTCGAGAAGAAGGAGAGCCTTCTTCGCGGCGTCCTCTTCCACCTCGTCGTTGCGATCGTCTCCGGCGATTCTTAGTCTGCCAATTTCAAGCGACGTTATATCTTTCAACGACCACCGTAGATTTATCGCAATTGCCTAAACAGACGTAAAGGAATCTTTTTTTCGACACTTTTGGAATTTCTTCGGTATTTTAATGGATCGCGACGCTGAGGAATTTTTCGACAATGAATAATCGACTTCAAAATGTCTCTGCGACACTTTATGTCTTCGATTCGCCGACTCGGGAGTCGTCTCACGAAGATTTGGTGCCAACTGTGTCAGCTACGGTATAGCACGGTATAGGACCAAAATTGGATCTTCACCGGACGCACCGCGAAAAACTCGCTATTTCAGCAACTCTTTGTCCACACTCGAGAATTCGAAGATCTAGTGCTCGATCGAAGACTCTATCAAGAATTGTACGAGCAGAGAGCCACAATTTTCGAAGATCCCTCTAGAGGTCCCTCGGAGACCCCCGGGGAATCAGCAGGACGACGAAATGAACTCCTTCTCGTGCGCGGCAGGACGACGAAGTGAAGAAAAAAAGAGAGAGAAAGAGAGAATGAAAAAAAAAAGGAGAAGGAGGTCGACGGCGACGTCGCGACGCGCGTCGTCGGCGAGATGAGGCAAGCCACTGGTCGGTCCCCGCCGTAGAGGCTCTATGGCGTGCATCATGGCGTGTACTTCCAGCGGTATAGCTTGCTCGAGCGGGGCCCGAGGGGGACTTGGGAGGGAGTAGGAGACGACGAGGAGGGAGCGATCGGGGCCCGAGAAGGAGAGAGAAAGAGAAAGAGAGAGAGAGAGAATACGCACTAGGTAGGTAGGTAGGTATGTATTTCGCCCGCGGCGACTCCAGGTATAGCGGTACTTGGGTACCCCATCTCTCCCCAGTTCCCCTTTGGGGTCCGCACTTACCTCCTCCGTGCCTCGCAACCACCTTCCTCCACCTCCTCTTCGTCGTAGAGCGCACAAAGGTTCTCCAACCGGTGGTTCTCCGCGGCGCTGCACGTGTCACTAACACACGACTCCACGAGAGGGCTCTCCTCGCCGCGCTAATGCGGGGGAACCGATGCAGCTTCAAGGACGTGGCTTTTCGGCCTAAGCCTAGGCGCACCGACCTACTGCCGCCGGAGACTTTGACGAGGGGTTAAGACATGTTCATCGAGTTCAGCGAGGAGGAAAGAACACGCGCGATTATCAATCATTGCAAATCATGCCGGGCCCGAAAGATGTAATTGATTAATAGAGAGCGGAGCAAGGGAATAGTTTAGTGTTGATAATAGCAGTGGTGGTAATGGTAGTAACGGTGCCGTACACTAATAATATTTTATCCAATCTAGACACGTCGTAAAAGTTTTATTCATTTTAATTTCTTATACCAACTTCTCCTTTTTTTTATTTTTTAAAACTAAAGCTAAATAAAATTTATAATATTGTATACAATTATTAAAATTTATAAATTGTATTATATAATAAAAAAGTTAAAATTAAAATTAAAATTCATAAAATTTATAATATTGTATACAATTAATAAAAATTTATTAAAATTTATAAAATTATAAATTAATATAAAAAGTTAAAATTAAAATTAAAATTCACACAAGTCGTGTGACAGCAATGAACAGTGTTAAAAATTCTGCAACTTTTTCAGAAAGATTTATACTTATTATTATTTATTTAACGACAATTGTTATTTCTTTGAAAATAAAATAATATTCGAAGTTATTTAAATTAATGCACAAATGTAAGACTTCTTTTCAAAAAAAACATATTTTATGTATCATTAATTTCAGACTAAAGATTGTTATGTAAAACGCTTCTCTGAAGACGAAACTAATGGAAAGACACTCAAAAAATATTATTTTACAATAAAAATAGAAATATCCTTCGTTAATGCCATCTCATTAAAATTTTTAAATATTCTCTTCAATTCAAATTTTTGTTTCTGCTTTTACTTCTCATTTTGATGTGATTTATATTAATCTATTATGATTTATTGATATACTCCGCAATTAAGGACAGACTGTTATGTCTATAATCGACAACTCGCCGATGTATTGATATATTCTCGCGAATGGACATGGCGGGAAAGGTCTCTTCACATATATCTTGCGAAGATGCGCAAAGAGAATAGTGCAAATGTAAATGCGCCCAAGTAATCGATCGGCGGATAATAATTAATTGGACAACTCCGAATGCATTTCGGAATCCGCTTGAACTCGCGTGATTCGCTGTCTTTTTTTTTCCACCGTGAACATTCCATGATATAAAATTTCAACGCGAAACCGCGGAATCCGCCGCAAAGTTGATGAGGCTATTAAAATCATCGCCGATAATGCACTTGAAAGCGGCGCGATCGATTATTTTCGCAAAATTTAAAATAAAATTAAACCTTATCATATAATATTAATTTCTTAAATATTAATATTTTTACGTTATAATATTATAGTTTCATTATTTTTTCATATTTTCAATTTCTTTATCCTGATTTATGCTTTAAATGTTATAATTTATTTTTTATTACATAAACTACAAAAAAATTAAATGAAATCTCTGAAGAGTAAATCGGACTCTTTTTGTCGTCGAAACCTACATTCGGCCACCAGATCCGGGTCCACGTTGGAAATCCGGATCTCTCATTGTGGCGAGAAAATAAATTTGATCGAACGGAGCTCGGGGAGATCGATTCGATTTGGCCGATCGCGGAAAAATGGCGGGAGAAAAAAGGCCCCTGACTAATAACGTCGACGGGGCGGTCTTGGAAAAAAATATAAATCTCGGCGCGGATGATGGGAACGTGGCGCGGAAGAAGCGGCGAAACGGAAAAGAGAGCCGACAGGTTCTGATCGATGATGTCAGAAGGATGCGCTGCTTATCGACGTCTGCACGTGCGCTGGGATGCTGCAATTAAGCAGCCTTTCTCTCTCTCTCTTCTTTGACAGCCCACCCTCATCTCTCGCGTAGCACGTGCACACCCGGTGCAAGTCGACCAGCACGAAGTCACGCGAAAAAACGGACGACACGACGGACAGCGAGATATATAGGCTGGAAACCGTTCCGATAAATGATAACGCATCGATAACTGACCACGGTAAATCCTCTCGTTATTCTAAACAGGCCCGAGACTCGAGAAAGGGATTATAAAGTCTCCTTTGAGTGCAGATTTTGACAGTTGAAATTAAAATTAAATATTGATTCTAAAATGTCGAAATTTTTTTGTCAGAAAATTTAATTACGGCTTTAGCCGTGGGCAATGATTTTGAACACGGCTTATTCACTTACCGCGTCGCCGCTAGATGGCGGCGTGGGAAATCGGCCGCTTTCCGCACAGAAAACACGCACACAAAGTGCAACTTTGCCTGCACGTGTAATACAAATTAAATTGCAATACACTTTGCTATATGAGTAAATTTTATTAAATCATTTTTATAAATAGTATTTATTAAAAAATTGTGTATTATATATATTATATTTATTAAATGTTATTTTCTTTAATTATTTTCTTTAAATAATGATATGACGTTATGAATGTCCAAATGATGTAATATTTATATAGGTACGATGATTTAGTTTTATTGTTAATGTGATGGAGAAGGCAACAGGATGTTGATATTTTCTTAATAACGGTAACGGCTCATTCGAGATCCCTTTTATGATCATTAATTCACTTGGTCGCACTAATATCGCTCCGGTATTATCATTATACCCGATGTGCCCCGGTGAAGCTCGTTAACGAAACTACGTAGTATTCGGTTGCATCCTGTGTTTGCTAATTGCGCGTATAAAACGCGAAGTACAATTTCATCGCCGAAGAGTCACCGGAAATTATTCTCGGTACCATTTTTAGGCCTCGAAATACGAAAAAGAATTTAAACGTTTAATTCGTATAGGGATTGTACGGTAATTTTAAGTAACAACGATTGCTTGGAGAACCCTCATGACACCAAAAGCTACTTTCATTGTATATACAAGTATTTTTTCTCTCTCTCCCTTTATATATTTATTTATTTATTTATTCATTTATTTATTTATCTTTTTTACGCTTTTATTTATTTATCTTTTTTACGCTTTTATTTATTTATTTATCTTTTTTTATGCTGAAATTTTTAAATCATGAAAATGCGAGGAAAAATCCTCAATTTTCTGTTCTATCCTCTCACGTTTGATGACTTCAAAAGTTTCAAATCTCCAAAATTCAAAATAAAAAATATGAAAAGAATAATAAATATATTTTTTTTAATATACATAATTATAAATATATTTTGCGATTTAAAATTGGACAGTTCGGAGACTTGAAAGTTTCGAAATTTAGTTGTAAGTCTTTAAAGGCCAATATTTAAATCAAAATTTTATTTGAAAGTTCGGAGGCTTGAAATTTTTCGAAATTCAGATTTGTATATCCTCAAAATCCCAAAAGGCAAAGATTAAAAATGCGGTGGCATTTTGATGCAAACGAGAGAAATTACCAAAATGAGATTTGACAGCTGAAAGGTTTGACACTTCGAAATGCGGAGATGTAAATCCGCCAAGATCCGATGAAGGCTTAATGAAAGTTTATGACTTCAAAAGTGTGACGATATCTTGATGCAAACGAGAGCAAATGAGAGCGAACGAGAGAGCAAACGAGAGCAAACAAGGGAAATTACCAAAATGTGGAGAAAAGAAATTTCTCAGGGGGAATTAACAGGGGGAGCCGACCGAGAACCGGCCGAGGCGTACATATAGGGTGTATCTAAATAAGTGCGAAAAATTTTAGGAGATGATTCTTTGTCGAAAATTAAGGGGCGTTACCTATATATAAACATATACTATTATATATCTCTTTCTGAGAAGTTACAATTTTCTAAAAAGGGAGTGCGTTCTTAAAGGGATGCTG